CTACTACTACTCTCTCTCTCTCTCTCTCTCTCTCTCTCTCTCTCTCTCTCTCTCTCTCACACACACACACACACACACACACACAAAGGCTGTGTTTTCAGTCCTTTCGAGTTTCATGCTCAGCAATTTCTTGTGCCCCCATCAAATCCTTTCAGACTTCATGCATATACAGATGAGAAACACCTATGTTTTTAGTACTTTGGAGTGTCATGCTCCGCACTTAGTTGTCCGCCCATCAAATCCTTTCAGACTCATTCATGCATTTATGGCTGAGAAACACTAAGGGCACTCACAAAAGCACTCTTAAAAAGCAATCTTTACAGGCAAGGGATAACAAGTTAAGATGACCTGGAAGCACAAAACAATAGACTGCTTCATACAGCAACTTAATGTGCAACAAAAGCACAGTGCACGGTACCCGTCATTTTTCAGCAGGGACAATGGAGAATCCAATCAATTTTGCTCCCTCTATTTTCACTAGAGTCAGTATAGCCTTAACAAAAATACCTCTGCCATTTGTATCCTTTTCTATTTTTGTGCATTCTTCTTCCTCAAAAACCCACCTCAACTAAATTAAAAGGCATGAGGAGCAGATATCCCAAGCCCTCCACACATAACCATGTAATTTGACAGTATCAAATAGAACTACAATAAAGACCATCCCATTGTGGCAATGGTTACAACTAAGTCAATGCATTTTGCATAAGGGCCTCATAAGATGAAATCTAAGATGCAGGATACTTTGCCATAGCCATAAATACATTTAAATATAACTCATCTTAAGGAGAGGTCAAATCTTCTTTAACATATACACGCTCATGGTCCACATATACTTGGTATATGATTATTCTCATTTCAATATAATGTGATTCAAAGTAATAAGTTCGTGAAAGTCTCATTCTTACTATTTCAGAACAAACCAATGAGGGACGCACACGATTAATGAGGTAAGGAGCCTCCCAACTTTAAGGCCTCGGACTTGGAGTCCAGGTTGGACAAACGAGGGACAAGGGAGAAGATCACATAGGAATCAGGAAAACATACCGAACTTCATAACTCACGTCATTGGCTTATGGGAAATAATTTTTCTTACTGTACATACATACACAC